AGAGAGAGAGAGAGAGAGAGAGAGAGAGAGAGAGAGAGAGAGAGAGAGAGAGAGAGAGAGAGAGAGAGAGAGGTGCGCACGCGCCGGGGAGTGGAGGGAGGACCCCTCCCCCACCAGCCAATCAATCAATCAATCAATCAATCAATCAACCCCCAAATATTTTTTTTTATTATTTTTTTAAAACACAAATATCCTTTTTTTTTTCTTTTTTTTTTCTGATTTGAAGGTATGGGGTCCTAGCTGGACCCCGCGCGACCCTGATGGCACCTCGACGCCGACCACCTGGGCTGCCACGTGGTAATTGAATAACAATTAGCACAATACAATGCTCATTTCGTCAGACCACACAAGCAGATGCATGTCATCATCACAAGAGAAGCTCAAGAAAACAGCAACCAGAGAGAAAGGGGGGAGAAGGAAAAAAAGTCGAGAAGTCAACACAGTAGCTCTCCCAAATGCGACCCCCTTGATGGGTCAGAAATCATCATTAAACATGACCCATCATGTCACCGGCTTCGTGCCAAAATGGTCGGCAATTTCCTGACAAAGTTAGTACTTAGCCTACCGTGAATCTACTAATCACCCGGTAACAATAGCGCGACCCTACGCCGCGTTTCGGCTGGTCGCCAGCGAGCCCTCATCAGGGGTCAGGTATCGCAAGTTGAGGAGGACTAACTGATCGTTGCTTCTTCCTTAAGTAGCCCTGCACTAATTTGCCTACACACGTGAAATTCTCCAGAGACTTCTATTGCTAAGCTTACATACGAGAGAAACAATTCCTGATGCGGGAGCGACAAAAAGAGACCTACACTCAAAAACAGCCCTGATACCACCAGGCCCATTTACCACAGAGTACCAGAAACTATCCAGGTTCAGAACAAAAGTACCAAGAAGACCCAGAAAAGACAGCCTCTTTACAAGATAGGCCGAAAAAACAAATCATACACAACCCTCCGACAAGGGGTACCGGGTAAAGAAATAATGCCACCCCGTCTTTACCCCCTGAGAAGACTCAGTAACAGCGTTTAACCGTGCCAACTAGAAACAGAAAGATAAAGCCTTCATACCAAGAGACAACACCGTCCTATCTTACCCCTGTCATATACCCGCGTCATTTTTCAACCACAACACACAGACCGAAAACATATATCTGGCCATCACATCTGATTTAACTTGCCATACCTCAAATCATAGCATGAGGGAGAGCCAAAAGGAGGAGACAGAAATACTCAAAGACAAGAAATAGGAGCAGAAACTTTCAAGACTTAGCATGCCATAGACGAGAAAGGAGGTAGGAAGTAGAGAGAGAAGTTAAGACGAAAAAGACCCAGAGTCAGAGCTCGTTACCTACTATGCTACGCTACTGCACAGCTTTCCACTGCGCGTGTTGTGCTTCTTCCCACCAACTTCCCAACCCGTGAGGCAATCCACCCAACCATCCCAGATACCGCCAAACTTGTTGGAGAAAGCCGTCAAAGCAAGGTCAAAATAATAATCCGGGAAGTTCCTTATCCTCAGTTCTATCTTCAGAGAAAGCAAAAAGGCACCCTCCATCCCCAACAGTGTCGTAAACCTCTTTGCTCGATACAAAAACGAGCTGATCACTGCTAGCTTCTGCTATCGCCCAGAATACGAACAGTAATCCTGCAAATTTTGGAAGACCAGATGTCCATTCCAAACTGCCTGCTGATTCTTATATCTTGCTATACACACAATTGCCTTGGCCTCACTCCGACCGTACAACCCAAAAAGTCCAAGAATTCACCCATGTCCGTACGCTCAAGGGTAAACCTCTCATGGTAGCAACCTCGAAACGCCTCAATCACTTCCTCTGCTTTCTTCTTGGTGTCCTGCCTCAATGTGTCATAGCGGACGCATATCGTGACGTTGTCGACAATCCTCATTCCATAGGTTAATGCCCGCATACTACCCAAAGAGTTGAGGAAAGAGAATTCAGCCCGCGCACACAACAAGCAAGCAAGGGCCGGGCTCGAAGCCTTACCCATCAGTATGCCAAGGCATTGCTTTAACATCACTCCACATGCAGACACATATGTACAGTCCAAATCAAACTGCACAAATCGGATAATGATGTCGAAACCAACCTCCTTCCACCCAATCTATGTGTCTCCCATCCTTATCTTCGCCCCTTTCCCTCTTTCTTTCAGCAACACACTCCTGCCACCCTGTACAACCCAAAAATCGGCCACCCATCTCACTGCTTCCATCACCGCATCATGAGGCAGGTTGCAGAACATCTCCTTGATGTCGAACGCCGCGGACACAAAACCCTCATCCTTCCTCAAATGCTTGTTCGCAACAGTAATGTGCCGCACCATATCCTCCGTACATCTCATATTGAAATGGCTCCTACAAGGTAAGTCCCAAAGCATTTGATTAATCGCCCTAGCCACCCTTCTGCTGGCCACCACTCCACATTCCTCATAGGATGGGCAGATCGGCCTCCACTTGCAAACATCTTTGTGCTTTGGAATAAGGTAACATCTCCCCACCTTCCCCTTCTTGTTCCAAGGCCCCAAATCAGGCACCTCCAACCTCGCAAACCCTTCCCCATTTTCCTCATTCAACACCTCCTCATTCAACGAGCACAAAAGAAACCCTGGGTTACGTAAAAACATAGCGTCCATACCCTGCCGGTAAATCATAGGACAGCACACCAACGAGTCGCGCGGATTGTGATCCAGCGGGCATCTGACTAAACCATCAAGTCTCTTTCGCCAAACTTCCATCTCAAGAGTGTTACAAGCCCTTTCCTTCTCACATGCAACACCATTGAAGCAAGAATTAAGCAATTCATGCGATAACATCGTTTCAAACTCCATCGTAGTAACCTTAGCCATACACACAATGTTTCCAAAAGCCGCCAGCAGCTGCTTCTTCAGCGACCCTCTAACATGCCTTCCTGCTGGTCGTGGGATATTCTGTGCATTCTTGAGCCAAACCGGTACAAACTCCACTTCACTCATGCTATAACAGACGTGTCCATTCTTCCACGGGAACCGCTCATCCGAACTTTCACACATACATGCCACCTCCTCCTCTCGCGACACCGTCCTGAAATTATAAAGAATATCGCCGATGCTTCT